AGAGTCTCATCTCAGCGATTAACATGGGAATCGTTCCGGACAACCGAATGAGGAACATGTCAGCAGTTTGGAGGGAGCCATTATCTCAGCTAACAGAATTTGACCCTGTAATTACGCATTGTTAAAGGGATCGAAACGGCTTGGAGTTTGATGTCAGTGAATCTCACCTCAGCTTTTAACACGCAGAATCATTCCGGATGACCGAATGAGGAACGAGTTAACAGTTTGGAGGGAGCTGAGCCATCAACTTAGCTAAATTTGACCCTGTAATTATGTCCGGGCAAAGGGATCAAAACGGCTTGGAGATGGTGTCAAGACTATAAGTATGGACAAACCGAGCGACGTTCGGATAAGGTACGGATTGTCGTCCGGGGAATCGGAACTATGGTTTTGAAAAATCTCGCCTCAGTCATTAACTTGATTTGGAAGCGAGTCGCCCTTTTAGTTATAAATAAGGAATGACCCGATCCGGTGACCTTGCTTACAGTTTGAAAAGAGTTACCTCAGACCCCTAATATGGATGATACGAGCCAGAGAGAATAGTTCGGAATGCATCGGAATTATGGGTTTGGAAGGGAGATAGTCTCACCTCAGCTTGTTAACACGTGGGATCATTCTGGATGACCGAATGACGAACGGGTTAACAGTTTGGAGGGAGCCGTCGTCTCAGCTGAGAGTTTGACCCTGTGGTCACGATCAAAACGGCTCAGAGGGATTCACCTCAGCTAAAAGATTTTTGACCCCGTGGATCACGAATGATAAAGGGATCAAAACCGGCTTGGGAAGGGTGTCAGAACAAATATGGTCAAAACGAACGACGTTCGGTAACATGGATTTTCATCCGCAGAATCAGAATTCCCAGGTAGATGACCGAATGACGAACGGTTTGGAGGAAGACATCATTCCAGCCAAAAGAATTTGACCCTGGCTTTATGACCGGACAGAGGGATCAAAACGGCTTGGAAACAATGTCAGAAATATAAAGATACATGAGCCGAATAATGTTCGGCAACACAGAAAATATTATGAGCGAGAGAAATCAACGAAAAAACAGAAGAGTAACATCAACACGGTTAAAGGAAAATGTCCAGTTTATTCTTCAGCATTACTAGCCGGAAGATACAAAAGAAAAAGAAAAGAAGGCAAAAAATAAATATACAAGGCTATGCTACTGGAGGACTGCCGTTCGGGGAAGGTGAAGGTTGGGAGCCCCCTGCCTGCGTTGCCTCATCAGGCACTGCTTCTTTTCTTTTGTCCATAATCCGGTCATAGGTGTTCCCGAACAGATCATCAAAGCCCAATTCATCAGGATCAAACGGCTTAGGGAAATGCTTCAAGATCAGATCAAGATTCCTGTCTAAAAATAGATCCTGACTTTGTGTCACAGTTTTCTCGGTCAGAACATCTAGAAAAGATTTCCCTTCCGGTGTGCTGTCCAGGAGATCGATGCCTGCCTTGATGGGATCTTCGCTTTCTCGCAAAAATTGGCCAAGATGAGGTCCCGGGAATTGCCGGGCTGTATTCTCCAGAGCAACGTTCAGCCCTTTACCCCGTTGGTAGTCAACTATTGATTGATTTGCAATATGGGAAGTATTGGTAGTGTAAGGTTCGGGAAGATTGTCACCATTGACCTTATCAAATTTAACTCCGGCAGATTCAGCAGCCCGCACCTTGGCCCGGAGTTCCTTAATCTCCCGATCGCGACGTCGGGTCTTCTCCTGCATTGCAGCCAGGGCAGCCTTTGCCTTCTCACCCTCTTTGGCGCGTTCTTGTAAATCTGCAGCTAATTTCCAAGCAGCAGAAAGAAGAACTTGGATATCGTCCCGATCGCTGGCCAGGAGTTTCATTTCTTTTTCAGCCGCAAGGAAGGCCTTATGATAATATACACCGGCCTGAAAACAAGTGGCAAATGAAGACAGATAAGATAAACAAATAAAAAGTAGGAATGTATGGATCAGAATGAAGCGTACCTTGAGTGCTTCTTGATGACCTGCCTCAAGAAGATCTGACCAGTGAGTCAAGTTCGTGAAACTGGGGGGAACCTTCAGCGAAGTACTGCACCACATGGATGATGGCATTAGCCCGAACAGGTATCTTCCTTCTGCTCTAGGCCCCATGTTTGAAAACTCAACAAACATTCGATCATCGACCGGCGTATCAGAAAGAACTGGAGCTTTCGGTTTGGCAGGCACAGATTTTTTGGGCTCAGTTTCCGTTCCAGTCAAATCGACTACGTGATCGACCAGGATCAGTGTGCTGCCATCATTCCCCCTGCGTTTCTTTCGGGTCTGCTCAGAAGATGCATGATCGGCAATCATCTTCTCCTTGCCTTTTCTGGAGGAAGCTGTCAGAGTAGCGGCAGATATGGAACGTCGAACGGGTATAGGGGATATCACACTTACAACAAAGGGTAAGAGATAAGAAACTAAATTGAAAGAAGGACGATCGGTTTAAAACCCTGTTACACTTACCAATCCCGGTAGATAGCATATTAGAAGGGGTAATAAAACCCCGAAGACTTCGAGTTCCTCCCATACGCAGAGATTCAGCTTGAGAGCGCAGAACGACATCTATTCTGGGCTGAGAATCACGAACGAGATAGACGTTCCATCGATCAGGGAATGGGAGAGAATCACCTATCCGAATGAATAGAAATCGCTCCTTCCAGTCAGCTGGCGGGGTAGGATTATCTGTAAACAGTTGACGATCAGATCGGGCTACCAGCTTCAGGTACCCGGTCGTCCAATAAGGCTGATAGCAGTAGTGGTGTAGAAATAAGTCAACACTTGGAGCGATCCTCAGTTCCTGGCATCGAATTATAAAGCCAGTCAAGATGCGGTAGGTGCTAGGTACGAACTAAGTGGGAAGTACGGAAACCCGACGCAGGAACTCCACAACGAACGGATGAAGAGAGAAGCGAAGCCCAGCAATCAATGCATCAAGATGCACTAACACGTGTCCCGGTCGATGCCTCATTGGATGCCTGATGAATCCAGCATAATACTCTCTTGGTGGAGGCAATAATTGGCCAAGTTGCCGTTCGGCATCTTCAGGAAGACGTTGTTTCTGTTTACGAATACGGTTAAAGTGCAGGACCATGCGGAGTGGCCGCTCGGGCATTCCCTTGTTGTAGATTTGAACATCGTCCCCTGATAGGCATCCGTCATCACGAGGTTGTTCGGAATCTTTTCCTGTGAGAGGATTGTCGGAATTAGGTACTTGGGAAGAAGAGCCTTCGGTCTTGTTCCCAGCAGAAGTTTTTCCTACACGGATCAACGACATTTCTTCAGATTCTGAGCTAGAAGGGAAATACATAAAACCACTTGAGGAATCCTAAGAATTCTAGAGAGAGAAAGCTTGGAGATACGCGAGAGAAAAAACTTGAAACAACAAGAAAAATGAGGATCAAGCACCTCTCTATAAATAGAGAAAATGCCGCCCAAAAACCTAATCCATGAATAACACGTGGCGTTACGTGATTATGATTAATCAGGGTGTATTTATGGTTCATTGTTAGGCACGTACCTCGAACGGGCAATGAAGAAGCATGATTGAGAGTACTGGTTAACCAGGCAAGCGAACAGAGAATGGGCACTTACGTTTTGACGCAAATCTTTTCGCACAAAGGAATGCAACAAGGTCCATGAGAACATCTAAATACTACTCGACTCTCCAATTAACGAACAGCGAGCCAAATAACTAAGATGTTTCAAATTATCGAAGTGACGAACGGTCTCACAGAGAATTAGCAAAGATCACACTAAATTGCTGGTGTTAAAACTGCTAAGTCCTAAAAAATGATCAGAAGCCCGAACGACTATCAACATATGAAGGAAGCCAAATGCGGTAAACTGACGGAAACATCTGAGGCCAGAAAAAATTGCTAAGTCCTAAAAAATGACCAGAAGCCCGAACGGCTATCAACGTATGAAGGAAGCCAAATGCGGTAAACTGACGGAAACATCTGAGGCCAGAAAAATTTGCTAAGTCCTAAAAAATGATCAGATGCCCGAACGGCCATCAACATAAAAAGAAGGGGGCCAGCCCCTGGTAAATTGTCAGAACTATCTACTGCCCGAGCGGCAATCAAACGGTGATAGGAGTGTTAAGTAAAAAATGAGGTCAGAAAACTGTTAAGTCCTACAAAACGGACCAAATCCCGAATGGTGAGCAATCATTCAATAAAGGAAAAAAAGACAGTATATGGAGCTTTGTGCAAAAGAGAATATATATATATTCATCGGCTCTATCGGCCGGAAAATATAGATAAGGTTTGCAAAAAAGGAGAAGGGGGAAGGGATTACAATTGCTAAAAATATTAAATTCTACATCTACTGTTCCACTCTATTGTCTTCTTCATCACCCTCCTCCTCATCTGAGTCAGTAGGGGGATCAGGCTCCTTCCCCGCTTCGCGATCAGCAGCCCGTTGCAAGTCCCGTTGATACTTTTCATATTGGGCTTCAACGATGGGCGCTTGAGGAAGGTCAGCCAGCTCGACCGGCCTCCCTAGCAATTCTTGCAGCTTGGCGACGAAGGGGGGCATAATGTGCTGGCAGCCCATGACATAAAGAGATCGGGCCAGGGAGTCATTGAACTTTTTTCCCCTTGGATCCTGGTCGAGCAGTTTGACCCCCTCGCTACGGCGGGCATCACCCGTGGGAAAACGTTCGAGATAATCATCAAAGGTGACTGGGAGTTCCTGCTGCGCATAATCCTTCTTCAAAACAGCAAACTCCTCAGACCCTTTGAATGATTCCCGGACGGCAGACAGATCAACCTTCACCTCAGTTGGGCCGTCCGGGATACGGGGAGCGCACACTTCAAACTTAACCAAAGCAGCTTCGGCAGCATGAACTTTGGATTGAGAGGCGCCGAGTTGAACCCTGAGTACACCAAGCTCTGACTCGAGGCGTTTTTTCTCCTCCGCAGAGGCCTTCCGTTCGGCTTCCAGAGCAGCAAAAGCAGCAGCTGCATTCTGCTCTGCAGAAGTTTGAGCGATGATCAGATCCTGCTCTTTAGCCAGTCGAGTTTCTTTCAGCTGCAGACTGTAAAGCCCAACCTACAGAATGTCGTTCGAGAAATGAGATGGTGTGAGGAAAATTAAACTATGAGAAAAATATATTGAGAAAAGTAAAATACCTTCAGGGCTGCTAAGACCAAGCATTCCTCAGATTGCTCGACCGACAGCGTGGGAACAGTGAAATTGTTGAAGAAAGCAGAGGTAGACCAAATCTGGCTTGCCGAACATCCACCTTTTCCCACAACTTCATGAACCGAATCCGCCAGTGAGATCCGATCAACCTGACCAGATAGATGGATGGTGGGCATATCACCCGCACCCTGACCAGTCTCCTGAGCGATCTGGAAGTGCTCAGGAAAACGATGCATCTGATCAGAACCAAACCGTTCGTCGACCAGCATAGCATCAAATTGGTCCTGATGGACTTGTTGCAGTGGTTGTGGTTCTGGAACGGGTTGAGAAGTTCCAGCATCCTGAATGGTAGTTATGGAAGGAGTAGGTTGAGGGTTCTTCCTGGCTTTCTTCCGTTTGCCAACCCCACCAGCTGTAAGAACTCTGCTGTTGTCCATAGGTACGTCCGGGTTGAGAGCTAAAAAATAACAAAGGAAAATATTAGTACCGAGCGGACCTTAGCACGTGGGAAACAAGAAAGAAGAAAACGTTTCTCGCACGGGAAGGACCGCCCGGACCATGACACTTGATTTCTCAAAACAAGTAAACCCAAGAGAACGGGCAGTACCTATCCCGGCTTCGATTAGCCGATTGGGAGTCAGATAACTCATGATATCCACACATTTATCTTTCTCCACAGCAAGCACATCCTTGTAAATTTCCTCAGTAAGAACTGGATCAGGAGATTTGCGAGGAAAGGCATTCCATTTGCGGGGAACTAGGCCGTCCGGGACAGACACAAAGAAGAACTGATCTTTCCACCCCTTGATTGAAGTCGGATTGCCCTTGAACAGGATATGTCCTGTTCGGGCACACGTGGCCAAATAGCCGTGTGTTTGTTGAGGGGCTACCTTAAAAATTGGTGGAATAGATCTAAGGTCGGCCGGGCACCGGCATCTTTACAACGGCAAATAAAGCCCGCCACTGCCCGATAGGAGTTCGGCATGATTTGGGCCGGTACAATTTCGTAGAAATTAAAAAATGAAATGAAAAAAGAATGTAACGGAAACCTAAGCCCGGCCCTAATTGAATCAAAATGGACTACAACCATCCCAAGGGTATGGCGCATTGGGTGAAGCCCAGCTCGCAATCGGAAATTCACTGGGTCTGGGATTAGGGCCGGAATTTCAGCCCTATTGTGGGAGGTCAGTTTTTGCCGCCTCTCCCTAATAAATTTTAGGTGAAGTGTATGATGGGGGAAATCGTTGGGACGTCCGGCCGCCATGGAAATTAGCTCATCTTCGGACTTCGTGTCATCGGAATCTTCACTAGAGGAAGAAGAGCTGTCGGAGGAATCATCCGTCTCCGCCCTAACCTCCGCCGTCACCGCCTTGGAACCCTCATCAAAAGGGACGATGATAATCTCCACATCACGGTCCTCCCCTTGAGAAGCCATCTCCGAATCGGAACACCGTTGAGAGTTCATAACGATTGAGGTAAAGAAGAGAAAGATTCAAAGGAAGGAGAAGTACCTGAGCACGAAAACTCAAAAGATTTGGGAAAAAGAGGCAGAGTAAAAGCACGAATAAGATTGAAAATTCGAAAACCGGATTTGAGAAGTTAAGGGCTAATTTATAGCCTTAAAACCGCCGTATCAAGGACCAATAAGGAAGCGACGCGTCACTAGAACCATTTAAGCTAAACGCGTGTCTAGTGAAAAGACTAAGCGACGGTAATCATGATGAATATGGGGAAAATAAAACGTCAGCCGTCAAATCACAGTATGGGGAACTGACCACTTCTATACCCCGATCGCCATTCGGCAGCTGCAACATTGGTGTTCATACTTTCTAATGCACTCACTGTCATTCGAGACATCGGAAGTGGGGGACTTGTGTTGGGATATTGACCCGGAGGCCCAATACCCGGATTAAAAAGGCCCAGAATACCCAGCCCAAACAATGAGTCCATTACCCTATGATGATTGGATCCAGTGAAGAATCCATACCGAACGGGGTTCGGTCCGAGTAAAGGCCGGCCCAGAAAGAAGATATACCGAACGGAGTTCGGACCATATATCATACTTGGGCCAAATTGACAGCGTCATCCGCAAGGTCCAGCATCCCGTTCGAGCAACGGGCAACCAGCAAGTGGCCAGGTGCAATTAATGTCAGATTGTGACATCAGCAAGTGGAAGCATGGGTGATCAAGTCGGTGGAGCAACGGCCAATCAGCATAGAGCAGCCCATGCTCTCCATTAGTATAAATAGAAGGTTTAAAATCATTGTAAGAGTTAGCATTTCAATACTCAAGCTCTAGAATAGCATTATTACTCTTGTTTTCTCTATTAAAAGCACGGTTCCGACCTACCGATAGGGAAGTTTCCTTGTAATCAGAAAGATTAATTAATACAAGTGGGCTTTTGGGTATTAGTGGATTCATCTTTTATATTTTGTTATACACTTTGATTCTGATCCATTCCTGATATATCCAAAGTTCGTGTTGGGCTTTCGGATCTACGGGACTTACCTTCAACAGTTTTATTTCTCAATGCTAACTATTTTTGTTTTTATCCGTGTTGAAAATAATTAAATTTTAACTAGTCATTTTCATTTAACTTACTATTTGAAGTCTCATCATTTCCACATATCAGTTTCTTATGTTTGAATCATTTTCTTATATTTCAAACAATACTATTTAATCACTTTTCAACTTCTATTTTGCTTTCACTAAAAAAATCACTGATTTTTAAAGAGGGTTTTATTGTTTACGTTGAAACATTAATTAATAACATAGTTTTTGAATGTGTATATATAAAACTTCAATAACTTTTCATCATGCATGTGCTTTGATGCCTAGGTCTGTCACTGTGCACACACAAAAACAAAATGATGGGAGTTATAATACGTGTTGTTGCTCGTAGTAAATTAAGTTTCAGTTTGCATTAGAATGGAGTCCATGAAAACAAGTATTGAATGAAATGTGAGGTTATAGTGTTGCTTCCATTAAAGTGAGTTTTCAATATGCATTAAAATGCTGGGAGTTATAGTGTTGTTGTTGGAAAATGTTAGGTAGCATGTGTTCTATATTGAATGAAATGAAGTCCATGAAAACTGGTATTGTTGCAGGCAACTTGTAGGTCTTGTTTATGGTCTTTATTTTGCAGGAAGAAATTTGTGAGATAATGGAAAATGATCCTAGCATATTTAATTCAGAATGACAATACTGCACTCAAGGATCATGTGGGTTATGTGGAGTCTCAAATGCAAATCTTTCAAGAGATGTTGTCGAAGCAACTTAATGTTTTTATTCCTTCGTAGATTGGGTCACAACGTATGTATGACTAAACACGATAGTAAATGAAGTAAAAGTGGAAAATAAAATGTGTTAAATAATCTATTAAAGTAAGAATTAATTACTATTTATCATTGAATTTATCATTGTTTATTGGGACTTATGCTATTGGGAAATATAATTTTATCTAAGAAGCGGATTAAATATTTCTCTTATAAGTATTTATGTCATTTTGATAGAAAATCTTAATTGTATGCTCTTTTTTGTAGGTAATAAAGATGACAATTGAAGTTTGCACCATATCAATGTCATTGAGCTACTACTTAATTTTGATTTAGTGCTCACTTTTTCATATAGTTATTGAGATTTTATTGTAATTATGTGGATGATTATTATATGGCAAAATTCACAAGAATAATCCATATCTTTAGCGTTCTACAATAATAATCTCTACTAAGAGTAGGGATGGACCCAACCGATTCGAACCGGCCCGGGAACCGGACCGGCCTGCTACTGTGCGGACCCGGACCAGACCGGGCCCGGATGACCGGTTCTGGGCTTTAGCCCGATTTGGGCGGGTCTGGCGGGCCGGGCTCGGGCCTTGATTTTCATGAACCGGCCCGGACGGTCCGGGCCCAGTTCATTTTTTTGTGTTTTTTCAATTTTTTTTTCTTTTCCTTGGGTAGGACTAGGTGTTTTTTTTTGGGGGGGGGGGGGTGGGGGTGGGGTGGGGGTGGGGGTGGGGAGTGAGGGAGGGGGGTCGGGGGTTAATTACAAAGCCAAAAAAATTACCTTGAACCGGGCCCGACCCGACCCGGTTTGGCCCGGACCCGGTATCAACCCGAGCCGGTTCCAGGCCTAACATCCTGGAAAAAAAACCCAGCTCGAACCGGCTTGGAGCCTGGCCCAACCCGGTCCCGGACCCTTCCTAACTAAGAGTGTTCGTAAATATAACCCGAACTAGAAAGTAGAAACCGTGTCTAAATGAATAAATTGGAGTGAAATTAAATTAATGATATTCTCACCTCCCACCTCTACTCTCCCATTCACCACTTTTCGTCTCTCTTTCTTTATCTTCTTCTAATCCGATTCTTTTTATCTTACGGAGTATGTATTATTACAATTACAATTACAATTGTTATCATATAATACGTTATCCGTGTTTCATTAATCAAAAGTGGGAGTAAAAGTGTTTTAGAATTTCAAAAAAGTACTCCTAAGTTTCTTCACTAAATTAGATTATGTTACTCTCATCTTGAAAGTTTTCTATCATGTTTTGACAACACCATACTTAAAACATGGCCCCAGTATAGTACGTAAGTGCCAATATTTTCAACAATTGCCAGTTATTATTCATGTTTAACGAATAAAAATATAGTTGTTATTTTCGAATTTCCAAATGCATATTTAGGGAAATTTCTTTTTAATAAGTCATATCATATTCCTTTCTGAAATGCATATTATTATTTACAATATTTCCGTTTTCTAAAATCTTACTTTACGTTTGCATCTTCTTTATCACACATTACTTTTTTCTTTTCCATACTTTTCATTATCTATTTTATTCTATTTAATTTTCAAACTATTGGTACACTATTCATTACATCCAGTGTATCCCGAAAATTTGGTGAGCCGAGGGAATATAACACTACAATCTAGTCACATATTTCACAAAATAGCAAATCAAATTATTAATTTTGTTTGATTAGATTCTGTTTAAGATATATAAGTACGTGTATGAAGATCAATATATATTACGTGTATCTAAATATGCAATGATGAATAAAATTTGAAAAAAATACCTAAATGTAATTTAAAGATAACAATATTTAGTGAAAGAAGAAATTCCACTTATGATCATTCGAGTTTTGCACCAATTCCACAATTAGTCCTCGTCTTTCATTTTATCCATTTTTTGTACCCGACTATTGTTTTCTTGACCATATATAGTCCTTTTCCAATAGTAAAAATGCTCAGAAATGGACCACAAATGGTCAAGAAAACAATAGTAAGGTACCAAAAATGGATAAAGTGAAAGATGAGGACTAAATATGGAAATGACATAAAACTCGAAGGACCTAAAGTGGAATTAATTCTTTAGTGAAACTTTGAGCCTTTTATTCTATTAATAAGAAAAAAAAGATTCTTAATCCCATTTTAGAATTTTTCCTATGATTAACTTTTATTTTGAGCAATTTCTTATAAAATTTTAAACATATACTTCACCACAATTTTTGGTGATTTTTAGCCTTTAGATATATATAAATTAAGTATATTCAAAATAAAGAACATATGAAGTACTCCCTCCGTCCCATAATTAACTTCGGTTTTGACTGGGCACGGGGATTTGTGTGGTGGAGAGTTGTGCAGAGGAGAGAGAAATGTGTAAGAATGATTGTGAACCACATATTCTTTATCAAAAAAGAAAAGAGGAAATAAATTTGGAACGGACCGAAAAGGAAAGAATGAAGATAATTTCGGGACGGAGGGAGTATAAAAATCGCAATGTTGCACCTATTGTGATTTTTGCATTATTCACACACCTTAATTTGACAACGATTTTCTACTAATATATATTATCAAATTATTATGTATAAAATGTTATTATATTTCAATTAATATGAATTTCCAAAATATTAATTTTTTCTAATGTTTAGTAATATATAATTAAATATAATAATAATCAAAGTTGTGTGAAAGTCAAATTGTTGCAGTAGTCTCATTGTAAAATTATAATTCTAAGTAACTAATAACCAATGCCATAATAGTAATAGCCGCTATTAGCCTATTACCTATATATTGCTAGTATAGTAGTATCATGATAAGCATTAATAATAATAATTATTATATTAGTTTGTGTATGCAGTCAGTTGGTCACAATTCAAGGGAATAGGGATGAACTCCGGCATATCCGGGGCAGGCCTCGGGCCAGATCCGGCCAAGCTTTTTTTTGGGTTGTTGAGAATTGAGACCCAGAAGTCCAGAACCAGCCCGTGTAGATACCGGGTCGGGCCGGATGCCTTTTTTTTCTAATTACTTCCTCCCCCATCGCCACACCCCAAACCCCTCCAAAACACCCAGCCCAACCCATTTACCTCCCAAAGAGTTTGGAAAACAAAAAGGAAATTGGCCCGGACCGGCCCGGTTCAGTTTTTGGAGACCTGGAGCCCGGCCCAAGAAAATCCAGTTCGGGTATAGTGGACCCGGCCCATACCCGGGCTACGGGCCGGGCCAGTTCAAAACAGTACTGGTTCGGGCCGGTTCCGGTCCAGTTGACCCGGCCCGAGTCCATCCCTAATTCAAGCTATACACCGACACGAATAACTAATGTTTTTTAAGAAGAATAAATTATATTGAAAATAGCGAGATGAAATTACACAAATTGAAGAAAATGGAAAAAGAAAAACGAAAGTAAAAAAAAAGCCTACATAAAGAATAACATTAGTCCTTTCAAAAAAAAAAGAATCACATTAGTAGACAATAGTTTTCATGCTCACACATGAGAAGACATTAGTTTCATGCCAGAATCATAGAGAACTCTGCCCAATATATTAATGACATGTTACCATACTTATACACGTTACTCATATTTTGGAATTTCACACTGTTTCTACTCCTATTTCAGAAAATTTTCCTTATAATTAGCCCTCTAAAACCTGTGCCCATTTGAGTCAGCAGATATATCACACGGTGAGAAAGAAAAGAAAGCAAACACCAAATGAGTAAACACAAACATACACTACCTGTGCTTGTAGCCATAACCCCCTCCTCCGCCCACAATTTAGATCATTCGCATTACATAAACACTGCAACTTAAGGTTTCAGAATACGTATTTTAACAAATGTCTAATTTCGCCATTGTCTCATTAACCGAGACCTCAGGGGGAGCATTTAGAACAATCAAACGTTACCAGCCCAGTTATAGGATGTTACCAGCCCAGTCATAGGATCGACCTCACGACTATCATGGGATCCACCTTTTCGTTCCACTGGCGTTGGTGGAAGCAAGCCTGCTGTGAATAGAAGACTCCGAACTGAATCTGTTGGCTGTGCCCCAACAGATAGCCAGTATCTGTATGTAACATCCCAAATAAGCAAATCCCTAAATGGGTGTTTATTACATATATATCCTTTTTAGTCTTACAAGGACTTTAGGAGTTTAGGCTCTATCTATTTACATGAATTTTTTTCCCTGGAAATACTTTCATTTGTTTGGCACCGGAAAGAAAACATTTTCCTCCAATCCAAATGGAAAGTCATTTTCTTGAATCATTTCTAAGTAGAGTAACTTATTTTTGAGGAAAACATTTTACACGAGTTACTTTCCTGCAATGAAATAGAGCCTTAAGACAGAGCCTTCAATACAAAATAAAGTCCAGAATTTTGTTAGCAACAATGCAGTAGAACAAGATCACAGAAAAACTTGTAACCTTAGAGCTGTAATCTGACTTTCTGAAGACCAGTGTTCAAGAATACAAAAATGCACTTTTCAAAAGAGAAACACAGTCATCTCGAACTGAGATGGTGAATGCTAGGAAACAAGGGAGCGACCCTTATCACTGAGAAATGAAGAGCTATGCATGTAGTGTTCCATTTCCAATCAGGATAGAGCATCCAGGCGTATATTGAGACGTAAGCCGCATAGGTAAAGAAAACACAATATAAAAAATCATGAAAAATGTAAATGATAGAAGTAGGTGAAAATCACACAGCAATGACTTTAAAATAAATATGAAAGAAAAAAATCATCTTGATTTTTAAATACATGCTTGGATTCTGACATTCATAAGAACAAAGGATGAAGTGAAATAGAGAAAGAAGTTGATACTTGTTTCCTACTTCAGAAAGCTTCCGTGGAGTACTCGAGTGAAATCATAGAGAAGAAGAAATCAATATAAAACAAAATATAGCACTTGTAAAGAACACAACAATATAAAGTTATAACCTTTTGGTTGCGTTCAAATTCTTTTTTTAAGTAACTAAAAACATCCTAAATTTTTTAATGAAACGAAAATCTTATTGAGCTAAATTAGGCAAAAAAGAATGAAAACGGGGAAAAAACTGCAAGTAACATGGTCTTTTTGTAAAAGGTTAGAGGCTTTTAGTTTCACCTGACTAAGACTAGGCAAGCCTAAAGGTGTAAATTCTCTCGCATCTCCAGAACTTTAAAATTACTGTATGCATAAAATTCATCGAATATTATCTCAATACCTTCAAGATCAATGATCTTCTGGAATGCTACATTTTCTTAAAGATAAAAGTGTCATTTAAGTCTTGGGAGCGGCCTCTTGTCAAAAATGACAAGGGAATGCTTGCCCGGTATACACCCTTGTGGTGAGACCCTTCCCCCTTCCCCAGACCCTCTCCTTGCAGGGATGCCAATGTGCACCGGGCTGCTCTTTTTTTTATAGAAGTGTCATTTAACTTCTTATACTTCATCCTGATCTTTTTAAGTAGGCATAAAATATGAGCGCATTTGAACAACAGAACAAGCAAATAGAATACCACTTACTTCACCCGATCAGACTTGAGACTCATTCGTTTCTCATCATCTTCCCCTGAGAAAACATAATATATTAAAATATTAGTAAGTTTAAATTTATCAAGGCACCGTATTGCATACATATGATACAGGAAAAACAGATCAAAAACCAGAAGGGTTTAAAGTTAAAATTTTTATGGAAGTAGATTAGCAAATAGCAATACAATTTCCAATTAATCAATCATCATGGTTAAGCAACAAACAAGAATGGCAGAAATGCAAAAACAAAACTTCTCCATCCCCAGCATTAGAAAACACACATAAAAACATTGTTTTTCTCAAAACATCATTCTGATTTTGCTTTATTCTCTCTAAAACTACATCAACTATAAACCATGCTTATTTCATACCAGGGGGTTAATAACACAATACAGGTTTCATTCAAATGAGGGAAAACTGCATGAATATGACTATAACACTTCATATTTCATCAAAATAAGGCGTGAGCATCACTCTTTCCTTAAAATAAGACATTCACTCCTATAAAAAAGAGCTTTTGTGAACTTTTATCTTTTTTGAGCTGAACAAGTCCTATTTTTAGTCCCAAACACGAACACCTCTTATTGCGCTTATGACGCTTGTTAAACACCTATATGTGGGAATTTTTCTTCAAATAATTCCGTCTGTTGGCAGATTACACAATCGATTGATCCAAGTCATCCAAAGAAGGAAACCAAATTATTAAACAAATTTCCGAAGCAAAAATGATTATATCGTATTTAATAGAAACACCCCTACTAACTGCAAAAACAATATTTTGCTGGCAAAAATTTCAAAATCATTACCATATCTAATTAAATTAGCAAAGAATGTTTTTCAGGAAACAGGAATTGGTCTGTTTGTCATGTTTTACTGCAAGCGGAAAGGGGGAGTAGTCGTTAGGGGTTTACCCGCTAGAGGGTTGTAGAAACCAAGAACTTCGAGATGCTTGCCGTCCCTGGGAGAACTGCTATCGGCAGCCATTAGTCTGTAGAAGGGCCTGTGCTTGCACCCGAACCTCGCCAACCTCAGCTTGACCGCCATTTTTGTTTCTAAACATTACAGTTGAGGATAAGGGTACATAATACTCTCTATATAGGCTCATGCCCTCACGATTTTTTGTGCGATAAAGAACAACTTGGGTTAATAGAATGAATCATTTTTTAAGAAAAAATTATATTTAAAATATATCTTGAATTAAATAAAATAATATTATATAAAAATATAGTTAAAATAGTTTTCTATATTAATTTCAGTCAATACGGTCAAAAAAATAACTAAAGCTTACATTTTTATATTATTACACAATTTAGCGTGGGAAATAAAAAATTAATTGTTTAATGAAAAAGTTTATCGATATGCTTGATAAGCCAAAAAGTAGGACCACTAAACGAAATCTTAGTCCAAATATTGACTTCTTATTTCTTAAGCATAAAAGTTAACAGAGTATATTGTGTCAAAACGAAAGCACAAATATCATATATTTCCTCCCTCCCTCACTCTTATCAAGTTTGAGTGTTTTACAAAATATAATTACACATTTTATAATTAACATATAAGTTGTTTATAAAAGTGTAAACTCTCAAGTATAGTTGAATATAGTGGTATTTTTATTCATATTAACCGGTGGTGTAGACAGGTGCCTAAATTGGGCTTGGCCGATACAATTTTTTTTTTTTTTGAGAAAAAGTTAACAAAAAATATTTCACACTAATATTTAAGACCTTTTTTAAATTTAAGGTGTGTAAGGGGCTTAGTTCATTAGTTCAAATACAAAAAAAAAAATTATCAAGATGAATTTCAACCCCTTGTGTCGTTTTTCTGGATCCTAGTAGTGCATCCAAGTTCTTGATTCTTTAATGGTTAGTATAGATCATTAAGTTCGATTATGCAGTTGTATTCACTTTTTTGTTACTAAACTCGTGTGCGTAGTAGTTTATCCAAGTTGAAGTTTTGATGTGAACAAATGGATGACTTTTATTTTGAGTATTAACTTGAATCCATAAAATGTAAGGGGAATTCCCTTTGATGATTAATTATGTGATAACTTTCAAAAATGAGTGATAGGCAATTTTTAAAGTGTTTGCTTTTTTTGGGTTGTCAAGTTTGTACATAAAAACGTAACATATTGGCCAACTAACCATCAACACTACTAAAAAACATCGGTATAGGCACGCATTTTGGCTCGGATAACTCCTTAAAATTCTCAGACTATCGCTCTTGGCTCGGTTTTGGCTCGGAAATATTTTTCGTGCCACCTGGGTCGATCCAAACGTGTTGGCACGGATTATAGGATTCGTGTCAACACTTGGCACGGCATTTGTCTAGAATTTTGCGTCCAAAAATTAGCATTCAAATCCCTCAAAAATTGGCACGGATTTCTCTTGTCTCGGAATTTGCCTCGGATTATAGGAACTCAACCGACTCAGTTTATAGCGGTTTATGGATCAGATAAATCCATGCCAAGTAGTATATCAGGTATAAAAAAACGTATACCGTACTTTGTACGGCATACATTTTTTTTATACTTTTTTTATACGTTTCAATTTTTTTTGACAGAAATGTAATCTTTTTTATCATACATAACAATTCAAAATTCACATATACAACACCACATACATGCACAATATTCATAATTCCCAACCACAAGCATAACATAAACAGAACTAAGATTAATAAGCAGTTGAAAGAAAACAGCAGTTGAAAGAAAACAACAGTTGAAAGAAAATAGTGATGGATAGTTTACCCGGGGGTATGTATCCGAGGGGTTATTGCCGGAAATAACTAGAGAGAAGTCAGAGCAAAAGTAAGAGAGAGAGAGTGTCTTGCTGAGAAAGTAGTGAGCGTATTTCTCTTGGGTTACAAATGGGGAAAAGGGGTGCTACTTATAGTAGTAATAAATGCCAGATAGGGACACGTGTCAAGCATTCAGTGGCTGAGGGGTCACATCAACTGGTTGGCGCTGGCAGTCGCATGTGGCCGCATTTAATGCGGCTGTTGGATGTGACGTCGTACTTGGTATGGTAATTCAGGCGCATGTGGAGAGGATATTATGTTGAGAAAGGTGCCCTATGTTGAGAAAGGTGCCCTCGGCTGCAGGTGATTAGCCGAGGGCTCTGAGTACCGGGGACCTCCTTAGTGCCGAGGGCTCTGGGTGCCGAGGACTACTGATTTTCACCGTTTTCTCCCAGTGACTTTGTTTGCTTGAGTTGGCCATCCTGTGAGAATTGGAGCCTTCGGCCAGGGGGCCGAAGACACCCCTAGTGTGCCACGTGGGTTGCTTAGTACTTGGAGCGCTGTGATTTGGGCCTGCTGTGCTTCCTGGACCTATTGGGCCTTCATTAGAATAGTAGGAGTCTATGAGCCGGGGGTTCCTGGGCCATATACTCCATCAAACAGTAATTAAGCAGTCCAAGCAAATGGCTAAAAAAGCCATTAAAAGAAGTTACAATAAAAAAAATTGTTCAAGTTTGGGAGTTCAGTTCACAGCATCAAAAAGATCATCCATGGGCACGTCATGAGAGCCGTTCAGAAGGCTGTTAATTCCGTGAGAGGTCGGTGTTCGGAAACCAGAGAACTCGGGTAGCGGGACACTCGGGTTGATGCTCCGGACCTGCTCCAAATACGATATGAACGTATTCGTCATGTTGGCCATCTAGGTTTGCCAAATCTGCTGCTGCTGGGCAAATCGGGCATCAACCTGCTCCTGAATGCGGGCATCAATCGGGCATCAACCTGCTCTTTAATAGAGGCGAGCATATTAACTGAAACAATTGACAAACAGCACTAATGCACGCCCATACATTATCCGGAACATTTTCCCTCATAGCAACAACAAGTAATTGTTGCATGAGGACGTGACAATCATGGCTCTTCATACTCTTCATTGACAACTTCTCTAAGTCTACACATCTATAGAAGTTGGATGTGTACACATCAAGAAACCGTAGCTGAATAAGTCACTCCAATATTTTTTGTTTCTGTTCATCGGTCACTTGGTAAACTGCTTTCTTTAAGGGACCTTCGTAATCTGGGCTCATAGCAATTTCCGGTCTATCACAATACAATACCACATCTTTTCTTGATGATAGGCCGTCCTTGGTTTTTCCCTTGAAGTTCATCACTGTGTTAAAAATGTTATCAAAAACATTTTTTCAATATACATGACATCCAAGTTATGCATAATAAGAAGATCTTTCCAATACGGCAAACTCCAAAATATACTTTTTTTCGTCCATTTATGATGAATCAGATATCCCTCTGGATACTGAAGAGGATCAGCTATGGCAGTAGGGATGGAGCGCACGCGATCATAAATTTGATATCCTGTAAACCTCATTGGTGGTGGATCAAGCTCAGTGCGCCCCTTTAGAAATGATTTCTTATCCTTTAGATATGGATGGTTATGAGGAAGGAATCTTCGATGGCAATCAAAGTAACATGGCTTGCGGCTATTCTTGAGCCAAAATGCATTTGACTTCTCCATACAAACAGGACACCGCATCAGACCAGCGGTGCTCCAGCCAGAAAGCATTCCATATGCGGGAAAATCACTAATTGTTCACATAACTGCAACTTTCAAATTAAATATTTGATTCCTGGAAACATCATATGTGGGAACACCTACATCCCATAACTGTCTGAGCTCTTCCACCAATGGCTGCAGGTATACATCAATTCTCTTTTTTGGATTACCCGGTCCTGGACACATTAATGACAAAAACATAAAATGTTGTTTCATACACATGTCAGGGGGGAGATTATATGGTGTAATGATAATTGCCCAACATTAGAATTGTCCCCCGAATTGGCCATACGGGGCAAAGCCATCAACACATAACCCAAGTCGAACATTGCGTGGCTCAAAAGCAAATTGTGGATAACACCGGTCGAAATGCTTCCACGCCTCAGAATCTGATGGGTGACACATTAACCCATCTTCAGTCTCATGTTCCACATGCCACGTCATGTGTTTGGCCGTGACATTTGAGGCATACAACCTTTGCAACAGTGGGCTAAAGGAAGATATATCAACTTAGATGACGCAGACCTTTTGCGTGGTTTCCGAGACATGGCTGATATAGGTTTGTACCTATCCGCATTACAAAACTTACAATGGGTCAATGCCTCATCGTTCTTCCAAAATAACATGCATCCCATTGGGCAAGCGTGAATTTTAATCATGGGAAGACCTAACTCTGAGACAAATTTTTTCATGTTGTAGTAAGTATCAGGTAGACAATGATCACGCGGTAACATGCTGCCAACAGAGTCTAGTATCCTTGACATGCAATTCTCAGAGAGATTATATTCAGCCTTTATACTCAAAAAATCAGAAACCGCTGACAACTGCGAATGACCATCACAATCATAATACAGAGGTTGATCCACGCTTTTGAGGACTTCTTGAAATCTAGTGCCTAGCGCATCTACCTCATAATAAGATGAACTTGATTGCTCATTCACATTACTGTGTGAAGTGAAATCATTATCTGGTTGGGTATTGTGAAATGCTGAAGGGCCGACGAAATCATAAAGCATTTTCTGTTCCCATGGCATTTCTTCATAATTTCCCCAACCAGCCATCTCGTTAGGAACATAGTTAGATGTGCCTAAGGTCTGTGGCAAAAGACATGTATCAATCGGTTCTCCTTGAGAAGTCCAATTGTAATAGTTATCAATAAAACCGTTGATGGAGTATATGGCCCGGGAACCCCCGGCCCACAGACTTCCACTACTCCAATAAAGGCCCAATCGGCCCAGGAAGCACAACAGGCCCAAGTCACGGCACCCAAGGTACCAAGCAGCCCACAATGCGCACCAGGGGGAGCCTTCGGGCCCCTGGCTGAAGGCTCTGAACCTCACAGAAGGGCCAAAACAGGAAAACAAAGTTACTGGGAAGAACGGCGAAAATCAGTAGCCCTCGGCACCTAGAGCCCTCGGCACTAAGGGGGTCCCCGATACTCAGAGCCCTCGGCTAGTCATCTACTGCCGAGGGCGCCTTTTCCGACATAATATCCGCTCTACATGCGTATGGATCACCGTACCCAGT